CACAGATTTTCACGTCTTTTATTTCGGTCAGTAGAACTCTTCCCAAACATAAAGCCAATGTTTTCAGCTTCTCATACTGTATTAAATTCATACGAATTATAATATACGACAAGTTTTCTTTACTATCATTTATTTGAAGGAATTTGTTTTGGACGTCGTTGTCGTGTTGCCGTCCTACATGCTTAAGCTCGCTGATGTAAAAACCCACCCGTCGATTCGACGTTATGCGTGCGTGGCAACATGAATATGGACGTGGCTTGCACATTGACATTAGAGAGCAACCAATAACGGCAGAATACAAAATTACTTACATTTTTGTAAGCAAGCTAAAACATACATTACTAAACTTTATTTGCCTCTTATAAAAACACTCATCTTTCTTTTAAACATAAACCATTAAGAAGCAATATAGTCAGTGAATTCACATAAAACACCCCAAACGACTTGAACGTTTTACTCTGTTCGTGTGGTTATGAGCCGTGAAGATGATATAAATAACTTAGCAGTTTGAACAACTACGGCGTACTAGAATGCTCAAGGGAATACAATTTATAATTGCCCCTTTGTCTTAGACTAAAAATCTATTGTTGATAATCACGTCTTCATTGACGTTGCCGTTCTACGTTTCCTGAGGGTCTACGCATCAACGAAAAAACATCCCTTTCGGGTTTATTCAAATTTCAATTCATGGCTTCATGGGTTTCAATTTATGAATTTTTAAATGTATACTTCGCTTCAAACTCCCATCAAATGAGGCGATGAGCAAGTTATACCCAAGTTACGAAATACACACTTGGAATATGTCAAACGATTCAATCAAGCAGTTACATTACATAGATCATAGTTAATAGAGGAGATGGTTTGGAAACTCGTTAGCATTACAATAAGATCGCAATAAACCTCATCTATGTTGTTCAGGCAGTGTGCAAAAATGTGGTCTTTCATTGTCACGTGCGTATTGTATTTTTCTCAAGTCAACCAATAGGAATGTTCAAAATGTCCTATATTGTTAAAGTCATGGATGGGCAATTGGACAAAACCGTTGCTATTGGCTGGTTGAGCAAAAATACAATACGCACGTGACGATGAAAGACCACATTTTTGCATAAACCTGAACAAAAACATAGATAGAGAGGTTTATTATAATGCTAATGAGTTTCCAAACCATCTCCTCTATTCACTATGCATAAATAGATTATATAAGTTTGTTTGAAAGCAGTGGTCATAGCAACAGGTTATGTTATGGTAACATTTAATGATTTGCATTATTCAAAACTTTAGAAATGTATTAATTGTCTTTAAGCTATTTCGATGCAGGTTTATTAGCATTTCATGACATATTGCCTGCATGGCTAACCTGCATGACAAAGGCCTTCCATCGATGCAAGCTTGTCTTCATTCTCAAGTCTCAAGCATGCAAACTCTTGTTCAAACTAAAGTATTCTCTTTTTTTTTGTTGAATGGAAGTCTCGCAGCAAACTCTTGTTCAAACTAAAATCTTTTGGAATTTTATCTCTATGATTGGAAACAGCGTGTCGTTATCGAAGAAGTTTCTTCATCTTTTCCTAAACGTTAAGTCTGGTGTGCCTCAAGGTAGTGTCATAGGTCCACTACTTTTCATTTTGTATGTGAATGATCTTCCAGAGGTAACTAAGAATTCTACTGTTGCGCTTTTTGCTGATGACAGTAAATGTTACCGTGCAATTAAGTCACCAGCCGATCGAGATCTCCTACAGGCTGATCTTGACTCTATGCACAACTGGTCGATCTCTTGGCAATTGAAATTTAATGTACCTAAAGCCCGTTCTCCACTAGGCGAATTTGTTCGCGCGAACAGTAAAAAAGTAGGCTTTTTTGGCAACTTTTTCGCGGCGAATTTTTTCGCTGACAAATCACATTGCCAAGATTTGTTTTTCGCTTCGCGTCGCGCGAAAAAATTCCCCTAGTGGAGAACGGGCTTAAAACGCTCTTGCTCAGGGTATCTCGGAAACGCAACTCTCCAACTCACACTTACCACGTTAACAATCAACCTGTTAAGCCAATCAAGGCGACCTCGGTGTGGTTGTGAGCAATGACCTTAAGTGGTCCCCTCACATTGCCAGCTGTACTGCTAAAGCCAACCGTTTGCTTGGTTTTCTTCGCAGAAATTGTTCTCAAATGACTAATACTCGCTGCCGTCGGCTTCTCTATGTCTCAATCGTCTGATCTCACCTGTCGTACGCCAGTGAGATCTGGGCACCTCGATCCTCGTCTTGCGATCCTGGAGGGTGTTCAGAAACGAGCTACTAAATTTATACTTCAAAATTATGACTTTTTTTATCTTGAGCGTCTTAGGAAACTTATGTTATTGCCTATATCTGACTGGCTTGAAATAAAGAATCTCATCTTTTTTCAAATGCAAACAAGGCCTCTGCGACCTAGATATCTCCTCTTTTGTCACCTTTTCTTCTAATCGCTCATCTCGCACCCGTTCAAGCAAGGACAACTTGCTTCAAGTCAATCTGTGCAAAACCTCTCATTTTAGAAACCCCTTTTTAGCCGAATTGTCTTTCTATGGAACAATCTCTTTCCGATCATTCGTAACAGTTCGTCTGTTTCATCCTTTAAGCTCCATATTCACTACTCTTCTCAATTAGACTCTTCTTTCGATGTTATGCTGTTGACAGCATGCGCACTTGAAAACTCACTGCTCTAAATGCCGTTCTTTCAACTTAAGCTGTTCTCATAATCTAACCTATTAATTTTTATATAGTTATTTAAATAGAATAGAAGTAAAACAGAATAGAAGTGAATTTTATGCATGACGAAGTTATATAACACTTCAATTTGGTTTCGTCCACCACACGAATTTTGTGCTGATCAATTTAACGCAACGCGTAAAACCATAAAAATGGTCAGGTGAACCATTTTTGTGTAGTTATGCTCCTTCATACAATAAGAAGCTATTTTAAATTACCAGGAGCGTAAAATCTTGTGCTGAACAACAATAGCTTGATTTCTAAACTAAAGGTCTCGTGCCCTGTACAAACCCTAAGGCTTTTGTTTAAGATCCCTATAGATTATAAGTAAAAATAACATTCCACTGAAATGAAATCTCGAGAGAATTTGAGTCGTGTAAAATTGACTTTGTGCTATACTGAAATTGGATAACACGCAGTTTAAATTAAGTTAATTTACTCAAAACCTGAAACGGATGGCTGGGCAAGCTTTTCTTCGTTGATGCGTAGACCCCCAACGAGACTCAACGACACCGTGACAAAGGAGCCCGGCTATGTCCTATTTAATATATCTTAATTGATATCAATACAAACATATTTATACAATTATGTCACAGCAGTCCGTGTAGAAACACGCGAGACGAGTAATGAGCAGTTATATCAAAGCGACCAGGAGATGCTCTTTACCTATTTCGTATGTATAGAGGGAGCCTTGACTAATCCGTGTGATTCAAACAACAAAGAGATTTTGTTTGCATGGTTGTGTTTCCGCACGCATATGTTTCTTTTGTACATGAACCTAACCCTAATCTTAGCTGCATGTCTGTTCATGCGCGAAACATAACAACATAACCGCGCCATATGGGATGAACTGGACAAATTCATCCAATATGGCGGCAAGACGTAACATGCATACCATTGGAGAATATACCTTATGCATAATGACGTCACAAGGCTTGATGCCCGCGAGGAATGCTGGTCTTAGCAGTCATCACCCGGAAAAATTAAACAATTCAAAATGGCCACTATCGAAATTTCCCCGGGCCATGACTACTAAGACCGGCGTTCCTCGCGGGCATCAAGCCTTGTGACGTCATTATGCATAAGGTCTATTGTGTAAGTCACTTTTTCTGATATTGAATAGAATAACGTTCGTATTTACACACTTTCCTCACGTTTTTCAGGTCTTAGCGAAATAGCTGATGACAGTGTAGCTTCATTGAAAGAAGGACGAAATTCAAATCTCCTGCCTTTCTTACAGCTATGGGCAACAGAAAGTATATTTTACGTCATGTTCGGTCATCGAACTGGCACAAACTTCAAAACTCCTGATAAAAAATATTTGGAATTTACTGAAGCTGTGTATGGTGCTTTTGAGTCTGAAGCCAAGCTTGCAATCGGGTTTCCGTTGCATAGATACATCAAAACTCCTGAACTGAGAAACTTTTATCGAGCTTTAGATGTGATATCAAAATTTACGCTTGATTTTATGGAGAAGATTAAGAACAGCCCAAGTTCTCTGCCTGCTGGCTATGAATGTTTATTTGAAAAATTTAAGAGAGAAGAGAAGTTAACTGATGATGAGATTATTCAAGTTGCTATCACATTACTTGCTGGTGGCGTGGATACCTCGGCAACAATGCTTGTGTCGACTCTTTTTATGTTATCTAAATCCCAAAGAGCGCAGGAGAAACTCTTTGAAGAAATTAACAGCGTTTTACCAAATGGCCAAACTCCGAATTATGACAGTTTGAATAAATTGCCATTCCTCAAAGCGACAATAAACGAAGTTTTTCGAACAAGCCCGGTGACTGTCGGAACAACTCGTCAGCTATCCAAGCCTATAGTCCTGGGTGGGTATGAAATTCCAGCTGGTATGATTATTACTTTGTCAACTGGTTTCAAGTCAACTCAGATGGAAACACAGACATATGGAGACGTTGAGAATTTCAGGCCTGAGAGATGGCTGCGTGGAAATAAGGATTTCCACCCGTTTGCTGTACTTCCATTTGGTTTCGGCCCCAGAATGTGTGTTGGCAGGCGTATTGCAGTGATGGAACTATCGTTGTTTCTTGTCCGTTTTCTGCAGAAATATAAAGTGGAAGAAAATAACTTGCCTGAAGATCAACTTGGTTGGCACTTTGGTATTGTTCAACGTCCGGATAGACCTTGTAATTTATACTTAAGTGCAAGATAAGAATGTTTTCTATAAGGAACCAAATTTAACTTGACCGAACATAAGGCGAGCTAAAGGTGCTGTTAGGCTTCGATACAACTTGTTGAATGTCAATATGTCTTATAACAACATACATGAATACTATCGTACTTATATGATATATTATAGAGATTCAGATTTGACTTCCACTACAGCGCACCGCTACCATCAACCAATCAGGTGCGTGATATATTCGATTAACCAATCAGTCAAACCTGAACCTCTATATTAACCGTGTCGTTACACATTGACGTCACTGCGTGTTCGTGTGATTAGCTAAGATATAGTTAACTACTTAGTTAAATTTACTCTTCTCCAGTTATATTTATAGATTAAGCACGCGATTGGTACATTTTCAGCGTGCAAGCGCGATCTTAATTTGCTGTATATGGCTCAACGATGTTTTCAAAACTGCTTGTTCATCAAAGTTAGTATTTTAATAAAATACACATTTACAATTCTTTCGTGATCTTATTGTACAGTTGTTCTTGTGCTACATCAACGTATTAAAAATTCGCAGAAAGAATATGTTGTAAAATGTCTCAGCTTTTAAGCGTGATATTTTCGGAAAATTTTCTGTCCGTGGAAATTTTTCTTGAGTGGAAATGACCTTTAAACACGTGTTATTCGTGATCTATTTCAGCCATTTTGGAAAAAAAGCGGTGAGAGCAATCGTATTGCTGGAAAGATCAAGATGGGGAAAGAAACATTGTGTAAACTGGAAGGAAAATGGGTATGATGTTTTGATTCTCTTTATGCCATTTTCATGACTTTCCTGTGTAGGAATTATCGCAACGTCACTGGTGTTTGCGACCATATGGAAGTAGTCAATGTTTAGGGAACTAGCTCAGTGTTTGACAGTGTTTTACATACTCAAATTTCCTTTAAGTTATAAAACATAGAACGAGAAATTATTTAACAAATATAAAAAATTTTCCGTGTTGATATACAGTTATATCAACACGAGTGGAAGTTGGGAAAACGAGAAATTGTGTGGAAACGCGAAGGGCGGAGTGTTTTCACACAATTCCGAGTTTTCCCAATTTCCACGAGTGTTGATATAACTGCATATCAATACGGAAAAAATGTTTTATGTTTGTTTTATAATATAGCACAAAGAAACATAAAGAAAGAAATTTTCCGACGTTTCCGTGTTGACATTGAGTTATATCAACACGGCTCTTAGCCAATCAACGTTCGGAATTTACAAATGCTATATTATAATTAATATTATAACGTGATTTCGAGTTCTCCGAAACTACCAAAAGTGTTTCTATATCTGTGTAGAAACAGAGGAAAACCTGTTTCTATTTCTTTCCTCCACCCGATCGGTTGCCGGGCTTTTGCTCTCAACTGAGACTATAGATGCAAACACTATTTACGACAGAAGCTGTAGTTTATTTAATACATTGGGGATATTTTCCTTTGGACCGTGTGAACAGGGCGTCAAAGGGACAAAAACGTTTTTGAAAACGACGCCCGTGTGCACATAGCCTGAGAATTCCCTTTTTATCTTGTGGTTCCTTAATTTGGTCGATTTATCGTTGCATGTTTAGGATGGTGAAGTACTCATTACTGACCTACGATCTGGAAACCATGAAGTAAGTATGAGATTTGATACATTTGTATACCACTGATCCGAAAATGAGCTCTGGATGGAATATCCTTTTGAATTCTAATCAGCCAGTTTTGAAGGCAGAATATATTAGAGGGAGTGGTAGTGGAAGTCAAATGATTATGATTATTCAGCTCTCTCCCCATCGGGGCTTTTCAGTGACCGATTACATCAAGTATTACGCTTACTTATATTACCTACTAAATTTACGCGCGTAAAAATTGAGAAAATCAACAACTTGTTGCAAGTTGATATCGACGGGCGTGAACAATGTTGTGCGGCCCACTATATGAACAGTATTGTCAACATGTTGTTACAACATTGTTCAACTGTAACAACTTGGAACAACATGGTTGACAACTTGTTCATAGTTGGCCGCACAACATTGTTCACGCCTGTCGATATCAACTTGCAACAACCTGTGCGTTTTTAGCCGTGTAGACTATTTATTTTTACAACAATTGTGATATTACTTTCCAAACTATGTTTATCCTAAAGGCGGTTTTCCAGTCCTCGCACGAAGCTCCTCGCAGCTCGCTGCGAGTGCTTGCATCTAATTAAAATGAACTGTTTAGCATTGTGATTGGATGAAAGTGCTCATGCATCACTCGCAGCGAGCTGCGAGGAGCTTCGTGCGAGG